AATCGCCATGTTCCCTCTGGTTTGAAACACTGCCTCTCAGGGATCATCCTGCGTATTCATCAGTGTTGTGAAGTGGATGACGTGTGCTAGCAAAATAACAAGGAGCAGCAGCCTAGCTCAAGAGATTCGGGAGTTCTGACAGAAAAAGCCCAAGCACCTCTGTCGGACCTTAATGTCCGGCACTTCTGAGGATTTAGTGGAGCACAGAAGGGACCGTGCGCTGGGAACCGCCGCCTAGTAATACTAGAGTCAGTGAATAAGGCATACGTCGACAGCATAATGGCGACGCGTTCTATCTGAGGGCAAAGCAAGACAAAGTCTGATTGTTTTCTGAGGTCATTCGGCCCCTCCTTTCGGAAAAATCTCATAAAAAATTGGAGACCTTTGGGCTAGCAGTTTCTTCCAGCTCCACCGTGAAGCCCTACCCTCGTACCAGCGAAAGATAACCTAGTCTAACTTATACCATTACTCTTCAGGAAGAAATTTTACGCTAACTGACATGACCTCAAAGCCGACTTCCGATTTTCTTTGATCAATAACTCCTGGAATTCTAGAGAAAGGACAGTGTCTAAATTTCCATGTATAGGCAATAGTTTGTAGATAACAAAGGTGTATGACTAGATGAGCAAACACTCCATATGAAAAAGAAAAAAATTAAAATTGAAAAAAGCCCGCAGTGATTCAGTAATTATGGAACAACCTAATATAAATTCAATTGAATTTTCTTTTTTTTTCTCAAATTTCAATTTGTAGAGAAATGTCGTTGTACCAGATACCTAAATTTGAATCCTCTCTTGACGGCACCTTTAAAATCTTGGGACGAAAAACGGTGGTAAAAGCCTGCTTGCTGCATGCGACGCGTTCAATAAAAGTCTGAAGCGCTGTGTGTGTGTGACGACGACGTGACTTTCGGAAGCTGTTAAAAATTTTTGGATCGCCATTTCTTCTACTCATAATATTCATGGATAGACGATTTGGAAATCGGACACTGAATGCGAACGAAGATTGATGCACCAATAATTTTGCCCACCCGCTGGGGATCCTGGGGATGCTTTCACAATTCGTGGAATGCCTCACCAGAGTCAACCCTGCGTTGCGCAGTTTTCAACGGCCACGTTGCGCAGTTTCGCCCGATTAGACACGTTCTCTCGCGCGAACATTCACACTCGCATGCTCGAGCCGTCTGCGTCTCCGCCCATACAGCGTGCGTTGAGGATCTCTCAACGTGCCGTTGCGAACTGCGCAACGCAGGGTTGACTCTGCCTTGTAATAAGAATCTCGCGATACGAGTCCTTAGTTTTTTCGGATGGAATGTCATTTGAATTCAAACTGCTTGAAGTAGGTGGTGACACCTTGTTGTGACGACCATTCGAAATTGCCATAGCTGAATCCATATCGTTTCGCTAACGCTTTCATTGAAAGGCTAGAATTCAACCCCGCTCTTGACTGGTATAATTGAGATACAAGTGCGACAAAACACCAGCTCTCCTCTTTCAGGATCCTCAATTGGTTCAAGCGGCGGTTGATCTTTGTCCCAAAACGTGTGGCTACTGTTGTCTCACACCTGCCTTTTCGTGCAATGACAAGCTGCGTGAGTTACATTTGTCTCAGCTGACTATCATAAATAAATCATATACGTTATCATGCTATCAACTGCTTCCTGGCATATTTCATTCTAAAGTAAAACCTTGCAGAGCCAAGGATACCATGCTCGTCAGTTACGAAGGTAATGTGTGAAAATAATGCCTGGAAGAAGATACTAGAAGAGGACTGCCCGAAAACCTGCGGTTTTTGTGATACAGGTTTGTTTCGGTTTAGGCAACAAATCTGCGCAGTTATTAAAATCCCGACCCCACAATCGTCAGATACGTTAGAGCGTAGAATCCTCATCTGATATTTTTTTAAGTCACGAAATTATCCTTCTATTTTATGAAGCGCTAACTTGGTGGTGTGTCGGTTTGTATGTATGTGTATGTATGTATATATGTCCGTCGCAAAATGAAGTGAGTATGTTTTTTGAATTATTCCGTTCGCAAATATAAGTGAATGGTGATATGGTGCTAACGGAATAAACAACCCTAAACAGAAGCGGCATATGTTGCCAGGGGCATGAGATCAATGTTTGGAGTATAGGGTAAGGGTGATATCACCCTTACGGCTATATAAACACCCTCTGAGCACAGTTACGGTCATTCCACATGGTGCTTCAGCGGCAGCTGGAGGGTAGTAGAGGGAAGAGCATAGGATAGGAAGGGTAGGCTTAGAACTTGATACCAATCCTACTATATATAAGCGGCTAGCGTGTGTCTGTTGGTGTGTGTGTGTATGTTTGAACGGAAATTCATAGCTCGAGTCACAGTAACGATAGCGCAGTGGTTCTTACATATGTTATAGGGGGTGGGATGGGGACACAAGTGGTACGTGATAGGAACTGATAACGACTGATAATAGCTGATAAGAGGGGCTAGAAAGCGAGCATCGCCAATTTCGTTTTGCCGTTCATATTGGTAAAAGAGCGTCTATACTTACAAGTCTTATGTGGGGCGGTCCCGGGACATTGGTGGTACATGATTGGAAGCGATAGCAACTGATAATGGCTGATAAGATGCGCTAGAACGCAAAAGTCGTCGATTCCGTTGCCTGGCTCGCGTTGACACCAGAGCAACCATACTTACAAGTGTTATGTGGGGTGGGACGGGGACATTGTTGGTGGGTGCCAGAAACTGATAACGATTGATAAGGGCCGATAAGGCGCGCCAGAACGCTGAAGTCGTCGATTCCGTTGCCTGGCTCGCGTTGACACCAGAGCAACCATACTTACAAGTGTTATGTGGGGTGGGACGGGGACATTGTTGGTGGGTGCCAGAAACTGATAACGATTGATAAGGGCCGATAAGGCGCGCCAGAACGCTGCAGTCGTCGATTCCGTTACGCAGCGTTGACACTGGAGCGTTCCTTCACTACAAATTGTGTGCTTTATTGATAGGAATTTCGACTGCGATAAACATCTTAAACTTTCAGCATAATGATAAGCCTTCGAATTTCTGACGCCACTATTCAAACCCAAATTCATTGAACCGCCATTCCATTCGGGTTCTAAATAATGGTGAATGTAAATGAATGATAAGCATTAGCTCCTCACTTATGTAAATAGGCATATTTCGTTTTGAGACTGACTGACAGCAATCCTATTCACCGCTAAATTATCTTAATTCAAGAAAAATGCTGGATGTTTACAGTTGTGATCAATATACCAGTTCAGCTCAGACGTTATCACGCGTATTCTCGATGAGCTTCAGTGAAACTGTGGAGGGTCTAACACAGTCAATAGTGAGATGGTTAATGGAGTATCTCATGCTGATATTCCATGGGTCCTCCAATTTCGCTAAAGCCTGCCGTGTGATGCGCGCGATAGCGGGCGAAGCAAACACTGGTAGCGCCTATGATGCAGTTAGGTATTAATATGTCATTCCACGGTCATGTCATGATTATGGCGATGCCCCTACCGTGTAAGCGGAAGACGCAGACGCAGGAAAGGACAAGTCCCGGCCGGCGGTTGGCGCGGACGAATCTGGTGCTAAATGTTATTGTATTGTTACTATGTTCTGCACGGAAGCGTGCTGCGAAGATCCTACTATATATAAGCGGCTAGCGTGTGTCTGTTGGTGTGTGTGTGTGTGTGTGTGTTTGACCGGAAATTCATAGCTCGAGTCACAGTAACGATAGCGCAGTGGTTCTTACATATGTTATAGGGGGTGGGATGGGGACACAAGTGGTACGTGATAGGA